CTTTTGGCACCTGCAGGCTGCCCCCCTGGCTTCCTCAGCATCTGGCGCTCGGCCACACCTCAGAATGAGCTCATGGCCTCTCTGGGTGCGGTGGGGGGCGGGGGTCCGCATTCTCAGGATGCCTCCCATAGCGAGATGTGGTGCTGTTCATTCTTCTCATAGGTTTCTCTCTACCTCCCATTTCCTCGTCGTCATTCCAGAAGCACATCCTCCTAAGGTGTGGACTCGGGGCGCCAGAGCTGTCAGTCGGGGAATATGACAAAAGCGTTCGGTTTGTAGATTAATAAGCCCGATACTGGAATGCATTGATAATGTGAGTACATTCATACTTATGGACAGCACTGGCATGTGCGCGATCCGCAAGTTTCTGGCACTGCAGTGGCGCTGGCCCCCGGCTTGTTATCGGATGTGAAGCGGCGCGCTGTTGGTGCAGGATCACACTGTCCCTCTCTGTGCCCCGTAACCCGACACCCCAGGTGACCCGCGAGGGGTTAACTTCACGGTGCTCGTGTTTGGTAACCTGGTCCTGACTGCCGGCACCAATGCTCACAAAGGCAGGAAGCGGCATAAATAAATGAGATGACTGGGGCCTCTGGGGGCCACAGGCTGGTCCGAGGTGGGTCCATCGCCGCATGTGCTTCGGAGTAACTTTTTTAGTTTTCCTTTCACTACTGGAAATTAGAGTGTAGCATGGGTCCTTCTCATAAGTGGATCAGGTCTGTGAACATCTGGCGGGAAGGTGGTTTTGTTTTTTCGTGCAGCAAAGTTTCACAGACGACCTCTGCATTGCTGCACGCAACCCTAAGACCTGATTCAAAAAGTTAACCATTAACTCTTAGCTAAAGGTTAACTTTTTTTTGCGTGATTGGTCTACTTTTTGTCCTGGCACCCCCCCCCCCCTTCCCCTGAACACTCGAAAATCCAGTTCCCTGGAATGGACTACCTGTAAAGTGGGGGACGGTCTCTGGGCTGTGTCAGTGAAAACCCCCAAAGCAACATAGCAGACCAGGGCCATCAAACCCCCGCCCCGTGTGAGCTGTTGTCTTTTTTTTTTGACGTGTCTTTTCATCTTGCAAGAATGTCATGAGAAAATGAAGCAGAATGCAAGAACCTGTCGATATTACCAGGGTGTGAAACCATTACTTGCAGCCATCTTCCAGCCCTGGGTCATGGGCACATCAGCACTTTTCTTTCCTAACTAAAGGACAGACAGAAAGTCACTGTCATTTGAGGAATTATTCTGTAGGTGTGAACTCTGTAGAAATGGTGACTCCCCTTCCAAGCCATTAATAATATAAACGGCTGCACCGTGAGACACTATTTTTGACTAGTATGGAGCTGTTTTTCCACCCAACTGTCACTGTAGGTGCTGCTTACAGTGCTGAAAAGTACAAACGCTTCATTCTTCTACTGTTTTGCCGAAGATCTCGCATGATTTGCACCTTCGCGGCTACTGTGTGCAGACGTGGAAATGTCCTGTGATGTCCGGTAGCCTCTGCGGGACGGAGCCTGAATCTCGCTCCTCCTGTCACGTCCCGTCACTGTCTGTATCTTTTCATATATAGAGTATAAGGTGTGAACTGTGGCTGTGTTCTACATTGTCAGAAGTTTAGCAGCTTCACCGGAAAGCCGGCGAGAGCGAGGCGCAGGCCTGTGTTGGGCTTCCCACCCATAGCCCTGGGGGAGACTCTCGACGGCTGACCCGCGCCGCTCACTCGGGCATGTTAATTTTGTGACCCTATTCTAAGAATAAGCATCCTTGTGGTTTTATGGTGCTGCTATTTGGGTGAGGGGTGGAGGTGGAGAATGAGTTGTAGCTGGCCTGCCGCATCAGTAACGCGCATGTCTTCCTGTGGGCTTTCGCTTACCCCCCCCAGTAGACGCGATCACCCACGCCAGTGAGCACTCGCTCAACTGTGTTCACTGCCGCCACTGGAGAGTCCAGGTTAGCTTTCAGCTAATTTAAAACCTGGTCAGAGAAGGATGGGAAAACATTCTCTAGCTTTTAGCATTGGGGTCAATGTGAAATGCCCCCCCCCCTAACTAGTGATCAACAGATTAAATCATTTGGCTGATTATTATGGTCTGGCAAATTTGTCAGCATTGGTGGATGACTCACCATTAACGCACCGATAACATTGCTTTGACCATGAGAGACCTTACTGGAGAGAATGCTAAGTGTTAGAGTCTGGTGTGCGTGTGTGTGTGTGTGTGTGTGTGTGTGTGTGTGTTTAGTCATATATGGTAAAGACCAGGGGAAATTCGTTTAGCCACGCGTGGTATTTGCTGTGGGACATTGACAAGGCGAGAGACAGATAAACCAGAAATTCATGTAGAAACAGATCAAAAGAGTACAAAAAAACAAACAAAAAGCATCCTCACCCTGACTATCCAGAGGGGAGGGTGGGAATAGAGGGAGACCTAGATATACAATCACGAGACGGCAGAGTCCCGAAAAGGCTCGGCAAACCACAATCATACGTTCATGGACGAGGTGTTGGTGATCAACTGGGAATGAAAAATTACATCACACAAAAAGTTTGACCAAAAGTGATGCATTGTTGAAGATTATTGGTATCTAATATAAAATTCTAACAGCCAGTATTACCTGTTATGGGAATTTCTTAGCTTCTTAAAACCTGTATTGTATTGGGGACAAATATTTATATCAGCTTGGCCTGTAACACGGATTTAAATGAGCCGTAATGCTTATGGGACACTTACTCAGCACACTACCCCCGCCCCAAAAAAGCTTGCCCCTGTTCTTCGTGTTGGCCTATCGGGGCTGGAGGAGACTGTGTTCATCTGCATGTGGTCTGTAATTGGTGGGGGGGCTTTGATGGCTTTCCTACGCTTGGCCGCTGAAGCGGGTCGCTCGGTGCGTGTGACTGTCGTCACGTTGCCTCATTTCGGCGCCTCTTGGGAATGTCGTGGCGTGGAAACTCGTGAGCGTGCACTGGTGAGATCTCCCGCGAGAGCGTATTGGGGAGTGTCCGGCGTTAGCAAGGGCTGGGGCGCCAAACCACTTCGCAGCCATCCGCGGAATGTCGTACAGTTGTGCAACATCTGGCTTTGTGTGTCCGTATATCAGTTCCCTGTGAGAATACCTTTGCAGCCACGCCCGGCTGCCTCCCTGCGTAGGAAGAGGCGCTGAGGTGACCAGCTTCCCTGTAACATTCCTGCCAAAGGAGCGGCTCCTGTCACATGTCAATACGGAGTGATCTGGCAGTTCCTGTAAAGGCTCTGCACATCTCCTGATGTAACCAGGCCCCTCCCTAGCTCCTCCCCCTGTGCGGAGCTCCCGCCCCCTCCAAGCCCATCCCCGAGGGTTTCGTTCACATCAGATTACATCACCGGGGCGCCGCAAGCTCGTGCTCACAGGTGTTTGTTCACCTCTCTCCCAGTGGACAATGTGGACCAATCCCACGCCCTGTGAGTCTCTCGCACTCTGGTCCGCTGTCTCATTTCCTCGTGGGCTTGTGAGAGCACCAGTAACGTCGGTCTCGGAATGACAAGCTCACTGCTCAGTCTCCTCTACTACTTTGCTGTTTTCAAAGCAGGTTGTCATTGTAGAAAGGAAATTGCGACACACATGCATGTCCAATATGAAAAAAGTGGAGGAAAAAGAAAAATATTTGTACGAAAATCATATTTGGGCCACTCTGGAGGTTACCTAGGAAACGATGAAGGTGCGAAATGTTAATCTGGCTTTCGTTTTGTCAGTACAAACCAGCCCTCCATTGTGCCACACCTGAGTCGTCATCTAGCCTCAGGTATAGAGCTAGTTTTACAGGAGACTGACTCGGACTCATCACATGTTTAGTGTGTGATGTGGCTGTCAGAGATGATGTCCTCCTATGTGTCTGTGGGGTTCCTTCTGCACCCAGGGAGGCATTGGCCATTGGAGCCATGTGGACTGTTAATCATCTCCTCCCCCCGGTGCCCCTCAGCGTTCCCGGCGTTCCCCTCTTAGTCGCGGGGCGTCACCTCGCCTCTCAGGCCCCGCAGGCCTGAAATAATGTGGCATTGTGGCTTTGATACATTTACCCGGCCGTGTTGCCCAGTGAGTGGAGAGTGTTCCTCCACCGTCGGATTACATCACAGCCCTGGAATGCTTGGACGGCAGTTCGGTAGAGTTTGATGTCCGACGCGATCTGGTTCTTGGTGTTAATTTTCGGAGATTCGCTTTGGGTAGCTGTGGATATACCGTGTAGACGGTATATCCAGGCTGGGATGTGATGGACGGTAGGGAAGTTTCTTGGGAAGTTTGCCTGAATGCATGTTGCTGGCTGAATAGGTACAAGAGAACAGGGGGCATTGTGTTGGCGTAGCCCCTGGTGCCAGCGCCAGAGTGAGGCTCGAGTGTGATGTGGGGGGCGGGGGGTGGCTGGAGGTGAATGCATGTGGGTGCCCCACTTCCCTCGGGTCTTTGGGGTGAAAGCCTTCATTATGCCGCCCTCTCAATGGAGCCTTTGTGCCACATCGGACCCCCGGCCCTGTCCGCAATCAAAATGTTTGCGCCCAAGACTCAGGAGGTAATGTACAATCCTGAGGCTGGGGGGCGCAAGAGGCAGTGTGTCGGGGGAAGGGGGGGGGGTAGGTTGGACGGTGGTGGGGCTTTAGGGGGATGCCGTGTTGAAGAGTGAGCAGATCTTGTGGTGGGTGGGGGAGATTAGGGAGGAGACGTAGTGGGAAGCCGGAATATTTCGGCGGTCATCGCTAGAAGCATAGCTGGCTAGCTGTCAATGGAGCGTCGCTGTCACAATGGGCCTTTCCCTCAGCCATTCCTGTGGAACATCAGCAGAACATCAGCAGAACATCAGCAGGACATCCAGGGCTCCCCATCTACTTCCAGCCACCAAGTTCAGGGTCTCCTCGGAAACGTCCGGCAGAGCGAAGATGCACTTTTCCGTTGAGCCATTTTGGCTCAGCATGTGAATGTTTGTGCCTCTGGAGCAGCCAACTCACAGTGGTGTTCCCCCCCCCCCCATTCTTTACAGACGTTCACAGCCTGGTGCAACTCGCACCTGAGGAAAGCGGGGACACAGATCGAGAACATCGAGGAGGACTTCAGGGATGGCCTCAAACTCATGCTGCTCCTGGAGGTCATCTCAGGTATTGTCACGACCCCCCCCCCCCCCCCCCCCCCC